TGTGAACTGATGCTATCACTTCAGGTGTACTTTCCAGTTCACTATTCAACTGAATCCTCACAACTATCCCTGTGAGATAAGCAGGGCAGATTATCATTCCCTTCTCAGAAGAGGAACAAAAAAAAATCTCAGATAGCTGAAGAAACTAGTGACTAGAACTATAAGGCTGCTGTCTTCTTAGGTGGATGCTCTTTCAGGCAATAATGACTACAGTCATCACTGAAAATTTTGTTTAAATTTCATTAAAATGTATGAAGCCACACAGAAGGTAATTCATAAAACACTTAAATATTTTGTACTTGCTAGTCAAAAATCATTATTCAAACACTGGAATACTCCTTAACAGAAAAAAGTATATCTTTTGAAATTATAATTTTCAAAAGTGATTCTACAATTACCATAATATGGTCTGCTTTTCCTATAAAAATTCTCTCATCTTATCTGATCCTTTGCCTTTCAAAATTTTTAATCCATTGTGACTGGTGTTTGTTCCAACTATGACCACAAAGTACCTTCCCCTGCCCTCCTCCCAAAAATATCAAGCACCTACTATGTCAATCAACAAGAGGTTTTCAGTTTTTTTTACTTTTCCTTTTCAATGTATAGAACAGCAGCTTGATACACGAAAGCAAAAATAAATATTTTAATAAATAAACAATTCAACTTTTCTGTTTTTCTATTCCTGAAAAGGGCAATAACAGGACAAAGTAGACACATCTCTGAAAACTGTTTATAATCAGAGATAAGAATTACTATATATCATATACACAAGAAAAAGAAAATATACACTAGAGTTACGTAATAAACTGACAGAAAAGATTTGGGATATTTCCCTCTCTAGTAGAAATCCAGTAAATTTCATTAAATTATCTTGTCAACCCACTGTATTTTCCTCACCCTAAGACTTTTGTACATGCTGGTTCATCTACCTAAAACTCTCTCCTGCTTCCTCCCACTCATCTTCAGCTCTCCCTCAAGTCCCATTCTTGGAGGGGCTTTCTTCAACCTACTCAATCTAATGATCTACCCTGTTAATTTCTCTCAGGGCATATCATTCCTTGGCTCCAAAACATTCATCAGTGTTTTTTATTTTATATTTCTTTTATTATATATTCCTTTTATTTATTTTACTATATATAACTAAGTTTTATTATATATTCCTTTCTGTGTTTGTTTAATGTCTGTTTCTCCCAAGAGAGTATAAGCCTCTTGAAGTCCACTGGTGGGTTGTTTTAAAAAAAAAAAAATAGCTTTATTAAAGCTATTTATTACAATTCACACACCATAAAATTCACTCGTTTCAAGTGTACAATTCAATGGTGTTTAGTAAATTTACAGAGTTATGCAACCATCACCAAGTGACTGCTTGGGTTTTGCTCCTCAATGTTCTCTGGCATTTAGAAGGAGATTAAATATCTGGTGAATGACTAAACCAATCTAATAATGAATTACTTCTGTAATATCATTATTACTAATATCTATTTAATGTACCTCCTGATTATGAGTTGGTGCACTAAAACTGCCTTTATTACATTTCATTCCAAATATCCTTCATTATTTCCATTTCTGATCCAACTTGGCTCTTCCATGAGGCCCCAAAGGGAACTTACTCATGTATCAGCCTACTGCCTCACTTGGGGAACACTGACTCAGGTCAAGTTCATGTGCACATACTACACTTCCTTTTACTCCAAGTAAACCCCTCCTCTGCTCTTAGCCATGTTAACAAAACACTTTATAAACAAAGAAAAGTTCAGAAGTAATCTTACTCACTGGTGAGGATAGGGTCTTCATTTAACGGGTGCACCTTTGTAATACTGAAGTGATGGAAAGAAGTTTTTGATACTCATATATATCTAGTCGAGATCTAAATATAGTGTGACTTGGGGGCCAGCCCCGTGGTCTAGTGGTTAAGTTTGGTGTGCTTGGCTTCCACAGCCTGGGTTCATGGGTTCGGATCCCAGGCAGGGACCTACATCACTCCTCAGACATGCTGTGGCAGTGACCCACATATAAAACCGAGGAAGACTGGCAGAGATGCTAGCTCACGGCAAATCTTCCTCAAGCAAAAAGAGGAAGACTGGCAATAGATGTTAGCTCAGGGCAAATCTTCCTCAGCAAAAAAAAATATATACATATAGTGTGACTTACTAAATAATTGGAAAACTCTTCCAGATATAAAATCAGTCTCTGTGCTGTTTATCCCTCTGTAAAAAAGAAATTTTCTATTTCTATTTTTTAAATTTCAGCATTTTATCCATTTTAAGAACCTAAGGTTTTCAGATAAAAGATTTAAGCCATGTACAAAATAACTTAAAAAGTTATTTTTAAATAATCTTTTTAAAAAATTAACTCAACAACAAAGAAACAAAAACCAATTCAAAAATCAGCAAAGGGCTTGAATACACATTCCTCCAAAGATGCCATACAAATGAAAAGATGTTCAACATCACTATCTCTTAGGCACATGTAAATCAAAACCATAATGAGACACTCATTCACCCCCATTAGGATAGCTATTATCAAACAAATAAACCAACAAACAAAAAAAGGGAAGTAACAACTGTTGGAGAGGATGTGGACAAACTGGAATCCTTGTGCATTGCTAATGGAAATGTAAAATGGTGTGGCTGCCCTGGGAAACAGTTTGGATGTTCCTCAAAAAGTTAAACACAGGGACCAGCCCCATGACTTAGCGGTTTAGTGCGTGTGCTCCGCTACTGGCGGCCCGGGTTCAGATCCTGGGACACCAATGCACTGCTTCTCTGGCCATGCTGAGGCTGCGTCCCACATACAGCAGCTAGAAGGATGTGCAACTATGACATACAACCATCTACTGGGGCTTTGGGGACAAAAAGGAGGAGGACTGGCAATAGATGTTAGCTCAGAGCCGGTCTTCCTCAGCAAAAAGAGGAGGATTAGCATGGATGTTAGCTCAGGGTTGATCTTCCTCACAACAACAAAAAAAAAAGTTAAACACAGAATTACCAAATGATCCTGCAATTCCACCACTAGGCATATACCAAAAAGAATTCAAAGCAGGAACTCAAACAGCTACTTGTACACCAATGTTCATAGCAGTATTATTCACAAAAGCCAAAAGTTGAAAACAATCCAAATATCCATCAACAGATGAATGGATAAAGAAAATGCTGTATGTATAGACAAAACGGAATATATTATTCAGTCTTAAAAAGGAAGGAAATTTTGATACATGGTACAACATGGACGAACCTTGAAAACATGCTAAATGAAATAAGCTAGATACAAAAGGACAAATGCTATATGATTCTACCTATATGAAATAGCTACAATAGGCAAATTACAGAGACAGAAAGTAGAATAGAGGTTACCTGGAGCTGGAAGGAAGAGGGAATATGGAATTATTGTTTGTCTCAAACAAAAACAGAGGTTTTGTTTGGGATGATGAAAAAGTTCTGGAAATGGATAGTGATAATGGTTGCACAAAATTGTGAATATACTTAATACTGAATTGTACACTTAAAAATGGCTAAAATGGAAATATATTTACCACAATTTTTTTTCAAAGTATAGCTACAGCAATTTATACTATTATATTCTCCAACAGTATTAAAGTTAGTGTACAACAAAGGGGGAGCCATGCACAGACTGAAGTTATTCATAAATGATAATAAACGTAGTTGTCATTTTATTGGTGGGGGAAAACTGACAAATCACAATGTATTCTTTTCAGCCATTTACTCTGTCCTAAAACAATGGCATTCTAATAAAAAACACACTGTAACACTTACTACACCCAATGAAGAATTTTATGACACTGTGATATGCCTTTCTGCATCTTCCCAAGTATTTAAGCTGTCACAGATCCCTAACTGGTGATACAATTAAATTAGAGAAAATACTGCCCCAATTTTAAAAGCAGCACAGATTAAGAAAGTAAGAAAGGGCTCTGATAGATATACAAATAATGACCAGTTCATTCAATCCATTCAACAAATACTTACTAAATGCACAGTACATGTGCGAAACCCTGGCCAACAAGTATTGCAAGGTTACAAAAAGGAAAGCTAAACAAGCCTCCCATTAACCCAGAAAGTCAATAATTCAAAACCATCCTTTTATGTCTGCCTTTAAAACTAAGTGCATCCCAGTTATTTAATGTTCATAGTCTGCATTACTGTGGTTTTGGTTGCCATTTTAACACTATCAGAAATCTGAAAGTAAGGTAAATGCCCAACTTTAGGTACTTTTTTCATTGATTAGACAGCTTTACGGGGAATTGAATGAAATTCTGCAACTGCCTTTCTAAAACTCAGTTTGATTTTTAATTGATTACAAACAAAAGTTTACCAAATTTCCCACTGGGCAGCTGTGCCAACCGATTCAATTTCTTATAACCTTATCTCGGAAACCAGGCGCCTCATCTGAAACTTAACGCTGTAACCCCTCCGCCTGGCCTATGCAGAATGCATTCTAGACAAGTCCCCAGTGCACCAACAGCCCAATTTTGGCCATACTCGCTGAGCGATTTAAGGAAGTCAGCAACCACTCATCTCACGTGATCTTAAAAAGGGGCGCAGTTGAGCCCGGAATAAACCACACTTTTTTTTCTGCATCAACTTCACTGCCCAGCATGAAGGAAGGGGACAGGGAGGTGGTGCAGGTCCGGCGTGCAGGGGAGGCTAGCAAACAAGCGTGGGTTGCTGTGCCTTCTACTTTGGGGAAGCCAGAAGGTGAGAAGACACACGCGCACTGCAGCGGCTGAAAAATCGAAGACTGCCACACCCCCCAGGAGCCAGGGGCATGGCTTCATCTCCTCTTGCTCGAGCAGAAAGGGGGCCCTTTCTACGGAATGCCCCACCCGCAGGGCACTGCCCGGATCCCCCGCACCCCGACTGTGCAACGCCCTTGAGCCCCGCGCGGGTGGGACACGGCGCTGGGGGGCGGCAGAGGGGGGAGGGCCGCGGCGACAGGAGACCCGCGCATGCGCAGATACGGGAACCCGCCCGTTCACCTACCGTTGGAACCGCGACGCCCCGTTCCCCGGCCGCGGCCGCTTCTCCAGGACCCGCGGCGACGGCAAGGGAGCGAGAACTGAGGCCCCGAGAGGCTCCGCGGCCGGCGAGACTCTTCCTGCGGCGGCCGCTGGAGGGAGGCTGAAGCGACGGCTGTGGCGCGGGGCCAGCCCGGTAAGCGACCCCCAGATGGCCCCGGCGGGGGCGGCGGCGGAGACGCGGAAGACGGGCGGGAGCGGCGACGGTGGCAGCGGCTGAGGCGCAGAGCCTCCCTAACGGCAAGCGGG